GTAGGAGTCAGGCTGTAGCAGTCAGGCGGAGCTGTAGCCACATAGCAAGCAGAGAGCTGGAGCACTTTAGGAGTCAGGCGGTAGCAGTCAGGCAGAGCTGTAGCTGCAAAGCAGACAGGCTGGAGCAGCATAGCAGGCAGAGAGCTGTAGCAGGGTAGGAGTTAGGCTGTAGCCATGTATCAGCCTAGCACAGTTGTAGCTGCATAGCTGTCAGGCAGAGCTGTAGCTGGGTAGCATTCAGGCTGTAGTGGTGTTTTCCAGGCTGTAGCAGGCAGAGGGTTGTTATTACTCCCTTGCTCTTTTAAAACCGATCCCCGGGGTTCTGAGGCGTGGAGCTCGGTGCTGCAGAGAAGCCGACGAACCCAGAAGGTCTGGGCTCAGTCTCGGACACTAACCCAGCCCCACACTGGGCTCTGCCCGGCACACACAGGCAGCAGCTGCTCTTCACTGCCATCTGCTCACCCTCCTCTCCCTCTTCCCTCCCCCAGGGTTTGACAGGTCCGATCGGGCCCCCTGGCCCTTCTGGCCCCAACGGCGAGAAGGTAAGAACCCAGGAACTCTGCATGACGCCTGGCTGGGGGCAGTGGGGCTCAGTGAAATGAACATTCACCGCTCAGACCCCATGGATTTCCCAGCCTCTCGGTGTCTGTGCTCCTCAGTGACTCCCTCCAGGCGTACATAGATCAGGCCACCGGATCCAGAGATACTGCAAGAGCCATGACCCAGCAGGGAGGGTCACTGGGCTGTGGGAGGGGCCTTGGCATGTGGGCGGGGCTTCAGGGCACAAGCCGAGCCAATGCCATGTAGGGTTGCCAGGCGTCTGGTTTTCGACTGGAACGCCTGGTTGAAAAGGGACCCTGGCGGCTCCGGTCAGCGGCGCAGTGGGGCAGGCAGGTTCCCGTCCCTACCTGGCTCCATGCGGCTCCCAGAAATGGCAATGTGTCCCTGCGGCCCCTAGGCAGAGGCGTGGCCAGGTGGCTCCACGCGCTGCCCCTGCCCCAAGCACCGGCTCCGCAGCTTCCATTGGCCAGGAAGCGCGGCCATTGTGAGTTGCAGAGGCGGTGCCTGTGGGCAGGGGCAGCGCGCAGAGCCGCCTGGTGCCTTCGTCTAGGAGCTAGACATGCTGGCTGCTTCCGGGAGCCACCTGAGGTAAGTGCCGCCTGGAGCCTGCACCCCTCACCCCCTCCCACACTCCGAACCCCTCGGCCCCACCCCCAGCCTGGAGCCGCCTCCTGCACATGAAACCCCTCATCCCCAGCCCCACCCCAGAGCCCGCACCCCCAGGCGGAGCTGTCACCCCACCTCACTCCCCCCTGCACCCCAACCCCTTGGCCCTAGCCCTGAGCCCCCTCCTGCACCCCAACCCCCTCATCCTGGCCCCATCCCAGAACCCCTGCACCCCCAGCTGGAGCCCTCACCCCCCCACACACCGCAACCCCCTGCCTCACCCCTGAGCCCCCTCCCGCACCCCAAACCCCTCATCCCTGGCCCCACCCCAGAGCCCACACCCCCAGCCGGAGCCCTCACCCCTCTCGCACCCCAACCCCCTGCCCGAGCCCGGCGAAAGTGATCCTGTGTGGGGGAAAGTGAGCGATGGGGGGAGGGAGTGAGCGGGAGGCGGGGCCTTGGAGAAGGGGTGGGGCAAGTGTGTTCGGTTTTCTGCAATCAGAAATATGGCAACCCTGGTGCCGTGGGGAGAACTTTGTGCTGGGGGGTGGGGTGGGGGAGTCCTCAGGTTGGAGTGTGGGAGGGATATGGGGGAACGGGTGACCGGAGGGGGCTGGGGGAGTGGCTTTGGGAGCATGGGCGTGTCTTGGAGCTGGAGGAGGGGCTTGAGAGGAAGCTCAGGCTGTGGGTGGAGCTTGAGATCTGGGCAGGGCTTTGGAGTCTGGAAAGACCATAGGGAGGGGAGTGGGCTGTGGAAGCGGGAGGGGCAGAATCCCAGGTTATCTACAGCCTCTGGCCAGCCATATCTCCCCGACTGCTCTCACATCTCCTCCTTCTTTCTCCCTGTCTAGGGTGAATCGGGTCCCCCAGGCCCATCTGGTGCTGCCGGCACCCGCGGCGCCCCGGTAAGTGTGATGCCAACAACCCTAGGTCCCCAGACCTTGATTCACACAATGGGTCTGAGCCCCTTGGGGGGGGTGTCTGTGCCCCTCAATTCAGAGACCACCCCTGGGGAATTCACCAGCTTCCCCATTCTTGCCAACATTGCTCTGATTGATGGGGATAGCCGCCAGAGACCCCGACCATTGTGCTAGGCCAGGGGGGTCGTGACCCCAGTGCGTGGGGCTCACAAACAGGTGTCAAGAGGTCAAGATCACCCTACTACATAGGGGTGGGGTCCCAGCTGGATGGGAGAGGCTCCTGGGGGGGTGTTCCCAGATGGACAAGGTTGAGAACCATGGTGCTAGGTGCTATACAGACATGGAAGCACAAAGATGCCTCCTGCCCCGTAGAGCTTGCTGTCCAGGTTGGGGTGTTTCCTGCCCGGGCCCCACATTTAACCCCTGTCCTTTCCCTTTCAGGGTGATCGTGGCGAGCCTGGAGCCCCTGGCCCTGCTGGATTTGCTGGACCTCCCGTGAGTACAGCCGTGTTTGCTGATCCTTGTTGTCCAGGTTCCCTCTCTATCCCGCCCCTCGATATCCATGTTCCCATAGTGATGACGGTGCCACATGCACGGCACCAGGCACCCGTCTCGCGGGGAGGTCACGTCTCACCCTGGTGCTTTTTCTTCCCTTCCTCATGCAGGGCGCTGACGGCCAACCCGGCGCTAAGGGTGAACAAGGAGAATCTGGCCAGAAGGGAGACGCTGGGGCCCCGGGTCCACAGGGTTCTTCCGGTGCTCCTGGCCCACAGGTTGGTAAAGCAAAGTCCTGCTCCTCCCCGCATGAGCCCACTGGGAAGGCAGCCTGGGAGAATGGGGGCTGGCCAGAGATGAACCGTCCTCGGGGAAAAGGAGCCCAAGAAAGGACTGTGCTTTGCTTTGAAAATACTCTGGCCATTTGCAACGGGTCAGAACCTAGGATCTGGGTCGCAGGGCTCTATTCCGAGGCGCACTCACACCAGGGAGCGAGGACGGCAGTTTCATTGCAGCCCTGAAGCCCTCTGGGAGCTTGAGGAGGCTGGAAAATACCCTCTTACCTGAGTACCCTCTGCTGTGCATCTAGGCACCGTGAGGACAAATGGGGGGTGGGGAGGGGTCTCGCTAGAGAACGTCGGGGTCAGAGGGAGAGTCTGGCTGCTACTCATCTCCAGCTGTAAGACAAATACCCGCCCATTGGAACAAAGGACCAGTCCCTTTGCCAAGACCACGGGCTGATTTCCTGGGGTCCATTCGGGATCTAACCTGCTTCTTTTTCCTTCTTAGGGTCCCACTGGTGTGACTGGTCCTAAGGGAGCTCGAGGTGCGCAGGGACCCCCTGTAAGTACCACCCGGGTCCTTCGACCCCTTGGAGACGGGCACCAAGTGCCAGAGCCCAGCCCGGCTCCCGCCCGAGGGCTGTGCAGGGGGTTCTGGTTGGGCCTGTATTGGCCTGCCAGGCACGGGCTGAGCAAGGCGGCAGGGAAGCAGAGACAATCACAGCCCAGGCCAGGGCGATGGGCTCCATCCCCCTTTGTGCGTTTCAGTGAATTGCAGGCCAGGAGGCGGAACGCCCCCTCCTCGTCACCGGGACGATTTCGGAATGGGCCCAGTGAAACGGGTGGCTATATTCACACTATGCACTACAGGCTCCTGCCTGCCAGCGGGCTAGTGGGCTTTGCTCTTTGCTCTATGGTGTGGGACCCAGATCCCTGCCAACCCATGAGCCAGGGGACTTTGCTGCACCCCTTGAGTTCGAATCATGCTGGAATGTTCAGCCCTGGGTGACGGCGAAGGCCTTGCCTGGACTGCTGCTCTCCCCAAGTATCCGGCAGGGTTAAGCACTCAGTCTGCTTGAAGGACTCGCCCTCCCGGGCCCAGCTGGCCAATCATTTGCACCAACACACTGAGCGGGTGCTTTCCCCCCAGCCCCATACTCCATGCACTCCGCCCCTCTCTGGGACGAATCCACCCTTCTGGCTCGGACCTGTTAACGGTGGGGAACCGCACCCCTCTCTCCAGGAAGGGCAAGGACTGGGATGCTCTGCTTACCCTTCTGTTTCTCCCCTCCTTATCCAGGGAGCCACCGGATTCCCCGGCGCTGCAGGACGTGTCGGCCCTCCCGGCCCTAACGTAAGTTCATGAACATCCAGCGTCGGTTCCACCTTGGCGGGGCCCCTTTTGGAAGGGAGACGGGGCATAAGCCACCCTCTGTCCATGGGAGAGTTAGATGGTCCATTCCCTGGGGCAGGTTTGTCCCTCGTGACCTACTGCAGGGTTTCCTGCCCCCTCCTCTGAAGCTGGTGGCACTGGTCACTGCAGGAGAAAGGAGACTGAGCTGGATGGACCCACTGATCTGACCTAGGCTGACTGTCCCCGTGTTCCTGGTTTATTACCACTCCGGCACGTTGCTCCAAAGAGGAGAACAAAGAATGGCGCGACGAACCAAAAGAGCTTCCCCACATTGCTAACAGATGAACCAGGGAGTGCCCGCCCTTTCGTAGTTTTCAGTAACTTTGGGGGCTTTTATTTCCCCCAAAACAAATTTCTGCTGTGACCTGATGAGGGTCCCTGGTACTTTGTGCTCTTGACAGCTGGAGAGTCTCTCCTAGATGACAGGACACCACGAGTGTTTGTCTGATAAGGAAACCAGTTGCCAAGTCTGAATTAGACTGGTGTCCTTTGCTTCGGAGATGGATTGACCTCACTTTGAGATGGTTGGCTGTTGTGATGAGATGGGAGGGGAAGGTGCAGGGGCTGGTGAGTCTTTACACGGAGAAGGATTCTCTGGGACTCGGATGGCCTATGGCACCTAACTGCCCTACATCGATTAATTAGAAGACAGAATCACTTATTGGCCTTTGCACCAGAGTAGAGGAATTTCCCCCATTCTCACCAAATCCTTGTGCTTCTCTTCTAGGGTAACCCAGGCCCAGCTGGCCCACCAGGTGCTTCTGGCAAAGATGGTCCCAAGGGCGCTCGTGGTGATGGGGGCCCACCGGGCCGTTCTGGTGACCCTGGTCTCCAAGGCCCTGCCGGTGCCCCTGGTGAGAAGGGCGAGTCCGGGGAAGATGGCCCACCTGTAAGTTTTCACGTGCACGTTGCCTTGTCTTTGACTGCACAATAGTTACTACCTAGTGCAGCCTCTGCTGGATTTTACCTCCTGCCTCTGTTTTTTCCAGGGTGCCGACGGGCCACCTGGTCCTCAAGGTTTGGCAGGCCAGCGAGGTATTGTCGGTCTTCCCGGCCAGCGTGGTGAGAGAGGTTTCCCGGGACTGCCGGGTCCCTCCGTAAGTAAATTGACCTTGCGAAGTCAAAGCCAGACTGTGCAAACCCAGCTCACAAAGTCCCTTGTGCCCTATAGCTGACGTGGCTTTGCACAGCTTGTTTCTCTGCAGAGGTGGAATGAGCCGAGAGAGCTTACGTGAGAGGGTCGGAGCCACAGTTTGCCCACCTCTGGATTAGATGGATAAGAAAGACAATTTGAGATCAGAGGGAATTTAAACCAAAAGAACCTTTTTTGGACAGTGTCGTTTAAAACAATTCAACATCGAGAAACCAGGAAATTGAGCGTTAAAGTCCCACAAATATCTTTAACTCTGCCCTGCATCCCCTCCCCATTATGAATCACGGAGATTCAAGTCTGGGATAAGCCCCGGGGAAGGCGGCCAATGAAAAAACGTGCCGTGGAGGAAATTCACCCTGGTGCAGAGGGACCACACAACATTTTTGCACCACTTACATCCCATTGCAGGGCTTGTGAGTGACTGGACTGGTCTCTAGACCTTGTGCTGAATTTCACCCTATATGCGTTTGTCAGCGCCTCGATATTGTGCGTGTCACGGAGCCAGAAGTGCTCTCGGACTGGGTTTACAGCACGTGTATATTTTAAGACGGGGAAGCGCTTCCGTTCACAGCACTTCTAAACCTCACCGGCTTTTAGGTGCACGGGGATCATCACTAATGTTATAGGCCCCTATTCCTCATCGCCCGGCACCTTGTGCTGTCACTAACACCCGTGCAACACACTGCTAACTCAGAACAGTTACACTTTGTTTCACTAGGAGGGTGGTGAAGCACTGGAATGGGTTACCTAGGGAGGTGGTGGAATCTCCGTCCTTAGAGGTTTTTAAGGCCCGGCTTGACAAAGCCCTGGCTGGGATGATTTAGTTGGGGATTAGTCCTGCTTTGAGCAGGGGGTTGGACTAGATGACCTCCTGAGGTCCCTTTCAACCCTGATATTCTATGATTTGCACCCAGCTTGCCTGGATGTTGTTGATGACACAAGGTGCCGATCAATGGAGAATCTGCCCAGTATTCTTCACTGAGATTTCACATAGCACCCGCACATTACTTTTGTCCATAGGATCCGATCGGGGAGGCGCTGCCTCTCGAGAAGCCATTGGAGGGAGTTAGCATGTCCCAGGCAATGGTCAGCACCCCTCAGGGTCTGACCTATATTAAATTCAGTTGCCCACCCGTCATCGCTCACTATTAGAGGCAGTGTGGAAGCCGGTTGCTTCCCCCCTGAAAATGTCGAGTTTTCAAGGAAAAAAACTAGAACTGAATATTTTCAGCTGACAAGGTTTTCGGGCATTCGAGAACAATTCAAAATGTTCAGCCAAAAGCGGATGATTTTCATGAATGAATCTGTTGCTTTGCAAACCTCGGTTTTGTGTCAAAAACCCCTTTTTGGTGGACAGTTTTCAAACAGCCCCTATTCAGCGTACCCCTCGGCACAGCGGCTCCTCAAGGCCTATCGAATGCAGCAACTTTGGAGTCCATGGCGTGAGATGCGCAATGGCCAACACAAGTGAGACACTCCATTGGAAGGGCAATGCCGGCCATTAGCTTACGTGGCCTATTTCATAAGTGGCCAGCCTGAGGTAAAACCATTCTGCTCCACCAGGGGAGCCTCGCGGCAACTTTTAGGCAGGAAGGATGCTCAGGCCTGATCCAAAGTCAATGGAAAGACTCTTGTTGAGTTGGGTCAGAAGGTCGTGGGGTCAGGTTTGGGCTTTATGATGGAAAGTATCTTATGACCCTGACCGGGGGCTAATTGTCTGGAAAGTGACTATGTAGAAGCAGCCCGTGTACTGCACGGGGATCAGCTCACTTGGATTGTTTCCGTTCTTGTCTCCTTGCGTTAGGGTGAGCCTGGCAAACAAGGCGCCCCTGGAGGTGCTGGCGACCGAGGGCCACCTGGTCCTGTGGGTCCCCCAGGTCTGACTGGTCCCTCTGGTGAACCTGGGCGCGAGGTAAGCAACAAAACTGGCTGGGAGTGTTAACGGCCTGGAAACGAAGGGAGACGCGTTTCCACAGCCAAATTCTAAGAGCCACAAGGCTGGGTGTGAATCAGCCATGGGTGGCACTTCTCAGCCTTCGGCCTCATCCCATTCCCATGGTGACGGCCGGACATGCTCATGATGTCCAAGTCAAGAACTCATGGATTAGATGGATAAGAAAGACAATTTGAGATCAGAGGGAATTTAAACCAAAAGAACCTTTTTTGGACAGAGTTGTTTAAAACAATTCAACATAGATAAACCAGGAAATTCAGCGTTAAGGTCCCCTTTCCCGGGTGTAACCCAGATCCCGCTTCCCCAGAGGAGGGCCAGGAACGTGGCCTCACTAGTTCCGGCTGCCCTGGGACAGCCCAGTTCCTAGTTCTCCAGTTCTAGAACTCACAGGAGCCTTGCGCGGGAAGCTTTGTTTCACCAGTTGCCTGTGCGGCCAGCTCCTTTGCCCAGGTCTGCACACATCCTACCCACTTCCCCAGGCAGAACTCCCTGGGTGGCCTCCAAGGAATCACCTTCTCCTCTTCTCATTCCCAGGGCACCCCCGGATCTGATGGCCCCCCTGGCAGAGATGGGGCAGCTGGAGTGAAGGTGAGCTTGGCAAAAGGAGTTTCTATCCCAGTCCTTGGGGTACCCTGCACCCATCTCTGTTCTCCAGCAGCAGGGTCCCAGGGCTTGGGGGTCTCATAGGGTGCCATGAAGCTCCTGTGCTCAGGGAAACAGCGAAGGTTGGTTCATCCCCTTCTCGTGTGGCCGCAGGCATTGGGCTCATGGTGCCCTGCAGGGTCAGGCCTGCCCTGAATGCCATGTTCTGGGCAGCAGCGGCTGCTGGGAGCGGTCCCAGGTGGAGCCGCTGCCTAGCACGCCGGCTTGCTCCTGTGTTTGCATAGAAGTGAGCTTGTGCTTTGCCGGTGGCTGAATGAGCCCCCGTCAGGCTGCTTCGCGCAGACCTGGACAGCGGTGGGGGGGCGTCATGCTCCACAAAGGCGGTCGCTGGCCTGTCCAAACCTTCCCATGGTGCTTGGCCACTCCCCTGCCCCAGCAGAACCAAAGTCAGAGGTGACCTCTGGAACCAGGGAGGCGAGGGAACGGTGACGTCGCCAGGTGACACCTCGCCCTCCTGGGGCACAGCGAGGAGAGACGTTGACATTAACGGCTGTGTCTTTGTCTCCTGGCAGGGTGATCGCGGTGAGACTGGTGCTGTCGGTTCTCCTGGTGCTCCCGGGCCTCCTGGCTCCCCGGGTCCTGTTGGTCCAACTGGCAAACAGGGAGACAGAGGAGAATCTGTAAGTGTCCCTTAGTGCCCAGACGGCAGCAGCTCATCAAGGGGTCAGTGGCCTCACAAGGGGAATGTCAGCGTACCAGACAGAGTACAGAAAAGGCTCTGGGTATTTGAAAGTACTACCCAGGGTACTGTAAGAGCTCTGAGTATTCAAGAGTACTGTGTAGAGTGCAGTCAGGGCTATGAGTACTCAAGAGTATCATCCAGAGTACAGGAAGGGATTTGAGTATTCAAGAG